AACTGCTCACAGTCCTCTAGGGCAGACCTCACTCCTGAAAACTGCTCGCAGTCCTCCAGGGCAGATCTCACCAGAAGAACCTGCTCACAGTACTCCAGGGGAGTTCACTCTCGTTCTTCAAAGCCCTTTGTAATAAAAGCTTACCTACCGTTCGCCATTTGTTGCTGCATCTTCTGTTACGTTCTGTCATATGTATCCAAGGACACCTGGTCCCTCTGGTGACGTTTCCACACTCAACATTCATGATTAAAATGTCAGGGGCAATAACTGTGTCACCCATTCTGTCCGAGAGCAGGTACTGCCAATGCTGTTCACGTTTTGCTGTCTCTGGGCCTGACTTTTGTTTCTCTTCCTAGCCCATTTGTTTATTAACTTCTCATTATAGACAATGTTACCTTGTACCATCATTGTGATGGACTTTGAGCTTTGTCATTTCGTCACTCCAGCCTTCGAACTGCTTGCAAAAACATTATTCTTTTGTACAAACATGTTAGTTAGGAGCAAAGTCAGAAGTCAAACAATACCAGAATTATAGTCCAACAGGTTTATTTGACGTCAGAAGCTTTCAGACTGCTTGTTCCTTTATCAGGTGACTCCACCTGCAGAAGGAGCAGCTCTCTGAAAGTTTGTGATTTCAAATAAACCTGTTGGACTATAATCTGGTGTCATGTGACTTTGACTTTTTCCACTCCAGTCCATGATTGGCATTTCCATATCAAATTTAGCGGTAGGAATTGGCCATTCGCCATCAAGCCTGCACTCCAGTCTCCTTTTCCATGACACAGTCCTAGTTTATAAACTATTCAAAACTAATATTGTCCAGTTCAGGTAAAAGGTTAGCAACACACATTTTTACTAAATTTCTCTTCCAAAACTGTTTCTCTTGCTGAGTGTTTCCAACAGTTTCTGTTTTGAGACTGGATTTCCAACATCTGCAGAATCTTGATTTTTGGTTCACTGTGGATCTGTCTGCTTAGACTGTCTCAATTAGGAATACATGGAGCTGTGAAAGAATGAAACATCAGTGACTGTCGCCCCATTCAATGAAAAAAACTCACTGTCAGGTACTAAATCAGGGTACTTTTAATCTTTACATCTGGACTCTAATCCACAAATTTTGCCTGCAAAATAAAGGTGATTTTCCTCCCTTGGGTATGAAAGATACTAGTATCTGACCTGTGCACAGAAAAAATGTGATGATCCCTGCTCTGGGAACAGTAAAGATGCTGATCCCTGTGCTGGGGTCAGTAAAGATGCTGATCCCTGCCCTGGGGGCAATAAAGATGTTGATCCCTGCCCTGGGAGAGTAAAGGTGCTGATCCTCATCCTGGGGATGGTAAAGATGCTGGGAGCAATTGTACAAGAGTGCAAACTAGACTCAAAATCAGAAAGAAAAGTAAAGGACTGAGGATGCTGCAGATCAAAGTAAAACAGGAAATGGTGTGGAAACTCCTCAGACCTGGCATCTGTAGAGACAAACACAGAATTAATGTTTCGAGTTCAAAGTCACTCAGAGTCAACTGAACTTGAAATGATGAATCTGCTTCTCATTTCAGAGAGGGTGTTCTTGGTTCACTCGGATAGACTAAAACAAGGCTGACTAAGAATCTGACATGGAGGTGAATCCTTTCTTGAATATGCTGAATTGCTCACATTTAGTGTGAAAAGCTCTATAATTGAGAAAATTATACATCGATCTCTCGAGGCTGCATGGTGGCACAGTGGTCAGCACTGCTGCGTCACAGCACCGGGGACCTGGGTTTGATTCTCGCCTTGGGCGACTGTGTGGAGTTTGGACATTCTCCCTGTGTCTGCGTGGGTTTCCTCCAGGTGCTCTGGTTTCCTCCCACAGTCCAAAAATGTGCAAGTTAGGTAGATTGACTATGCTAAATTGCCCATAGTGTCTTGTGTGCAAAATGCAGGGATAGGAAAGGGTGTGAGACTGGGTGGGATGCTCTTTGGAGGGTTGGTGTGGACTCAATGGACTGAATGGCCATCTTCTACACTGTCGGGATTCTAAGATGATCTCGATGGCCCTTTATTTGTTAGTTATGCCTGGTCAATATGTCTGCACACCTTTACAATTACGGATTCTATTGCTCTCCACAGACATGTTTCAACTTTTAATAGATATTTGTTTATTGGAAACAATATAATCTTTCATTTTGTGGATAACAATCAAAGGAAAGTTTTAAATCCAAACAAAAGATTGGGATGAGTCATGTACTATATCTCTGATGGCATTTTCCCAATCTGCTATGAAACCTGGTGACCATTGTGACTCTGTCCAGGGGGAAATGCAGTCTATTCAGATCTTTACCTGGTGTCCAGAGCAGTGACGGATCGCATGATGAATATATAAACCAAGACATTGTATGACTTCTAGTGTATATTTTCTGTTTAGTCTGCTGTCCATCACTCCCCAGAGACCCAGATAACATTCTGGGGACCTAGGTTTGAATCCCACCATTCCAGATGGTGGAATTTGAGGTAGAAAAAATATCTGGAAATAAGAATCTAATGATGACCGTGAATCCATTGTCATTGTTGGAAAAGCCCATCTGTTCACCTATGTCCTTTAGGGAAGGAAACTGCCATTCTTATCCAGTGATGTCATCATCCCCTGAATGAATTTATTAAAAATTAATTTAAAAAACTCCTGCAAATACATTTATCTCTGTCTTAATTTATTTGATAACTGACAGTTCAAACTGGTTGATGGTCACTTTCACTTTTGATCAAGTTGTGGCCATTTCATGTTTGAAACAAAAAAAAAATGCATGAATGGAACCATAGTTGTTCTCGTAGGAACAATGCGTGCTCTGACATGTTTGAAAAAATACCTCATCTCCCTTATGAACCAGATATCAAAGTTGACCATATCCCAATGCTGTGTACCATGAAAGCGAAATTCTTCACCATCTTATCTACTTGTGTTGCTATTTCAGGGAGCTTTGGACTTGAACCTCCCAAACTGCATCACCTCAAACTAAACTTCAAATGCCATTTCTCTGCACAACATTCCAACTGATCTATGTCTCATTTGAACTTGCCCCCCTCTCACATTAAATGCATGCCCCTTAGTATTAGACATTTCCACTCTGGGAAAAAGGTTCTGACTGTCAATTCCAGCTATGCATCTCATAATTTTGTAGACTTCTATGAAGTCTTCCTCGGCCTCCACTGCTCCAGAGAAAACAACCCGAGTTTTCCTAATGTCTTCTTATAGCTCATACCCTGTAATCCAAGCAGCATCCTAGTAAACCTCTTCTGCACCCTCTCCAAAACCTCCATATCCTTCCCGTAATGTGGTGACCAGAATTGAACACAGGCTACTCTTAGAGTATTAACTAAAGCCTTATAAATTTGCAACATTACATCTTGTACTCAGTATTCCTTTCTTCCTTGCACAAGTCTCTTCCTTGTCGAGTCCGTGAGCTTCTGCACTTTCCCACGCAGCTCTTTCATTTACAACTTTACCTCACAACATTACCCAACCCGGAGTCCCAGCCCTACAGCTTCGCCATATACTGCACTCTCCCCACATCAAAACCATGATGGCAGTGAACAATGACGACTTGTACTTCCACAACAACCCACGTCCTTTGTCTCCCTCTGTCACTAATATGTTGACTTTCCCACTGATTCCACAATTAATGTCCACTCTTCCTCCAAGCAGGCTGTCCCCACCGCCCAGCAGTGACTTCCCCAGCTTCACCAGTACTGCAGTGCCCCCCGAACACCTTGAGAATTTCATCAAACTGACCGCTTATGGCAGGAACGGACAGGGTCAGCTTGGATTGATGAACATAATTCAGGCTCAGCAAATCTACTGGAGCATTTTGAGGATGTAACTAGTAGTGAGTGTGGCCACCTCTCTGTACTGTAGTGATACAGATTCCCTGATCCTGATTGCCCCAAATGGCTGACTGTGTCAAAGTCCCTGAGCTGATATCAAATGATTCCTTGGACATGTTGTGTCAGGATCTCCTGCCTGAATCCTGTCTCCCTTGCCCTGACTGAGAACTGTTTCCCTGAGACTTTGAGACGTGACCATTTGGTTGAAACACATGCGTTTGTTGCCTCAGCTGCTGACCAGCCCTTGACTGTCTGCTGGTAACAACAATGATAAGCTGCCTGGCTTATGCCTGTGATAAACAACCAGGCAAGACAGGAGCACTGTGAAACATTAGGTTCTAGTTGAGACATCAAAGGGCAGAGATATTGTGCCAGTCCCTGAGCACAACACGTCTCAGGTGCTGAAAAGCTTGTAGAGTTCTTAGAGCAAGAATGTACTTTGTGGACAGGCAATTCTGCATCTTGATGTTAGCACTTTTATTTAACTCTGGCTCATTTCACTAGATCTGCAAATATCTATTGGTCTGGCTAATGTGAGAACTGGCTTTCGGAGTAATATGCCACTGACTTGGTCATTCGCAATTGTGTCCCACATCAGTGAATCGGTAATCTGATTAAACTCACAGGCCTTGACTTGAGAAAAATAAAGCAGTCACATGCACACCTGTTTGATTGGGTGTTCTTGCACTCAAATGAAAAATGTGCCTTGTATACGTCATATCCTTTCCTGGCTCACAGTGTTCCCAAAATCTCTCGTTCAATACATCCAAGTCATCGTCATC